TTAAGGAAATCGAATAAATTTGAATTCGCAAAAAGAATACAGTATATAAACGTGTATGTTCTATATGATTAAATATTTTTAAAATTAATTACAAATACATTAAAAATAACAATTAAAGAAGTATTTTAAGCATTTTATCAGAATTTGAAACTTATAAACTTGAATAAAAAAAGTATATTTAATACTTTTTGTTATTTTTATGCAATACTAATCACATTTATCGAGAAAAAAAACAACATCAGCTTTTTAATGGGTTGTTAATATTTTAAAATTAAATAAAAATTAAATGTATCTAAATTTCTTCGAACAATATAAAATAATTTTTTTTTTTTTAAATTTCATAGAAGCCAAATTTAAACTTGAAAATAAAAAGCTTTAAGTTTGTTTTTTTAATTAAGAGCCTCGTGTGACATAACCTGAGATTGTATTCCCCCCCCCCTCTTAAGAGTAAAATTAATAAATATAATTGATTACAGCTAAATTGTTAATAAAACGCATCAAATGTTTATTTTGTCTTTTCAAAACTGAATAAGTTTTTATTTATTTTTCATTCCTAAAATTTACTTTATTCAAATTTAAAAAGGGATAAAAACGTTATTTTTAAAAATACTTTTAATTAAAAAATTCGGTTTAAGTCAATTAGTGCAGCGAAATAGGTGCAGTGAAATTTCATGGCCAAATAGAACTCACTAATTATCGCTCATCCAAATAAGAACAAACTTTATGAAGTTGCAATTGATTCATGTTGATATCAATATTCCAAAACCCAAGTGTGTGACTGATATGAACTTAGGTATATTTAAATGTTATATAAAAAAAAAATAATCCAATATACAGGACTATAGAAAATATAAAACAATGTGTGGTCAAAGGGACATGGGACTTAAGAATTTTATTTAAGTTGAAGGACGTGAAAAATCATGTGATTGCTTATGTACTGGCTACCATCTCGTGGATGATATTATTACTGTAATTTTCATTAAAACAACGGGGGAAAGGTATTCAAACACTATGTTCATAAACAATATTCTGATCACAAACAACTTCTCTGGGTTCATAATCAATATTGCCATCAAACAAACTACAAACCTCAGTCACTCTATCAACATCAATATGTGAAACATCAGCAATACTAGGCTCACAATAAAAAATATCATTAAAATCATCTACTTTGGGTTCATAAGCCATAAAACAATCAAAACCATCACTAGAGGAATCAACAACACTATGTTCATTATCAATATTTTTATCAAAATTTCCATCGGAACTATCTACACTGGGTTCATAATTAATATCCCAATCAAAACAATAATCCAAAGCATCAACAACGCTGTGCTCATTATCAATATTATTATCAAAGTCCCCAAATGAAACATCATACCCTTAGGTTCACTACTGGTGCAAGGGCGATAGCCATCCTGCACATCATCCTGTTTATCCACATTATCCAACTTATTTTCTCTTGTTTCGTTGTCTTCAAAATATCCATCAACTAGATCAAACTGAAAAAATTCCGATTCATCATTTTTCCTAGTATTGATCCTGCCCCTTTCTACATTTGGATTTTTAGTTTCTGACAGCCTTACCCAACTTTTGTTCTCTCGACACCATCTAAGCTCATTCCCACTAACTTCTACCTTAGTATATTTCCTCGGTCGATATTTCCCATAACTATTTTTAAAGGCCCCCTCCCGCTTGATTTCTTTAAAAGCTTTCTCATCAACTTTACTTTGAGTAATGCTTGGACCCTCGTCCAAACAATTCGACGTTATGTCAGGATCTTTAGTCATGTTCTTCATTAGTAATTTTATATTCCTTAAAGTTGTTTAGGTCAAAAGGTTTCTTAGAATTTAATGGCTAATTAATTTTTCTCACCACAGATTCTGGTGGCCACATTCTTCTCTGATTTCCCACATAGATTTCTCTTTCTGGCGTATGTCTACTCCCCCCTCGAAACTGTCTTGTCCCTGTTGATCCTCAATAGGTTTTACACCAACGGCCATGTCTCCCACTATATTGCCCTCATTTTCCTTATCATCCAGAGAAAATTGTCCGCTTTCAGTACCAGTTAGTGTACTAGCACTGTACCAGTTAGTGTACTAGCACTATGCCCAGACATTTTTCTCTCATGTTCTTTGATTCTTTCTTTTTCTTCTCGCTCATATGCGCGAATTTCTTCTTCTTCTGCGCGAATTTCTTCTTCTTCTGCACGAATTTCTTATTCTTCTGCGCGAATTTCCTCTTCTTCTTCGCGAACCTCTTTTTCCCTAACAGCTACCCATTCTTTCGCTTCCACCCCTTCTAATCCCAAATCTATTGCCATTTGTTTAATTTCGGCAATAGTAGGTAACGACATTTTTATCTCTAAGTCTAATGTCAATATATATGTTTACAAAAAATTTACAAATAGAAAATGGATCAAATGAAATTAGTAATAAAACAATAGAAATTTCAAATCAAATAGCTAATTAATGTACTTAAAATAATTACTTGTGATGGTTCTCTTGATGGGTGGCACTGGGATTTCGGATGTATTGAGAAGTATAATCCATGTGTTCATGTGTATTTTCGTAGTTAGATGGGGTTGGAATGTCTGGTGTCTCCAATAATCCAATGTCACTAAAAGTTAGGGTTGGTATAGCTGTCTGTCTGGTTTGCACGGCTTTCCTCTGGATTGGTATGGCCGTGATGATTGTTTTACGAGCTGGTGTGGCTGGTTGGTCAGGCCACCTCTGTGATGAATGGTAGGCTGGTAGGGTTCTTTGGACGAGCTGGTGTGGCTGGTTGGTCAGGCCCCCCCGGTGATGAATGGTAGGCTGGTAGGGTTCTTTGGACGATATGATGTTGCTTTAACGGCCTCCACTGTGGTGGATGGTCTGCTATGGTTTGTTTGGACTTATCTGAACCTTTGAACCACGTACCAAATGATGAGTTGGTATGGTTGGATCGTTCTCCCACGGTGGCAAATTGCGGGCCTAGATGGCTGCTCCACTGTGGTGGATGGTTAGGGTTGATATGGCTGCATCGAACGGCCTCCCCTTTGGCTGATGGTAGACTTAGATGGTTGCTTTGATGTGCCGCAACGACGGCGAATGGTAGGTTTAGATGGCTACTCCATTGTGATTGATGATTATGTTTGAAATGGCTGCTTCGACAGCCTTCCCTGTGGCTGGTGGTGGGCTGGGATTGTTGCTTTGATGTTCCTCAAAGATGGCGAATGGTAGATTTGTATGGTTAATCCACTGTGGATGGTTGGTAGACTTCGATGGTTGTTCCACTGTGGTGGATGGTAGACTTGGATGGTTGCTTTGCTGTGCCGCGACGATGGCGAATGGTAGACTTGCATGGTTAATCCCCTGTGGATTGTTGGTAGACTTGGAAGGTTGCTCCACTGTGGTGGATGGTAGACTTAGATGGTTGCTTTGATGTGCCGCGACGATGGCGAATGGTAGACTTGTATGGTTAATCCACTGTGGATGTTTGGTAGACTTGGATGGTTGCTCCACTGTAGTGGATGGTAGACTTGGATGGTTGCTTTGATGTGCCACGACGATAGCGAATGATCGGTTTGTATGGTTAATCCACTGTGGTTATGGTTGATATGGCTGCTTCGACGGGCCCCCACTGTGACGTGACGTACGTTGTCTAGGGGTCGGTCCCCTGCGTACTAGCCACAGAACAATTTTCAAGGGTCTAGAACCCCTTTATTTCTAGCTCCTACAGAGCTGACTCTTGCTGCAAGTATCAACAAACAATTCAGAGATTCAGGTTTTCTTATTTATTGGCTATGTGTGCCTAACAATGGAAAACTTTATTAGAAATGAGCTCTGGTGTTCAGAATGAAAAACTCCACATACTATACAAAACAGTTAAAGTTACACAAGTCTTCTTCCATCCCTAGAAAAACTCACTGCCTTCACAAGACAAAAATCATACACCATATCCACAGCACTCGCCACTGTTCACTCCTTAAAAACTCAACTCACACACGTGGTTCCTCCCGACACAGCACACCGGTCATACCTTGACCGAGAAAAATAAATACCCGTGGGGCACACGGGGAAAAGAAACTCACCCAAATTAACATTATAAAAGTTGACACAGAAAAACTCACGCGATCTGACCGTGACACTCCCCCGGGGGGAAAATTTCTGAAATTTCGTACAGATTGGGGAACCAAAGAATGTTAATATCTTTCAGTTTTCTCCCTGAGAGAAAGAATTCGCCCTGAACGGGCCGATCCTAAGTATCTGTGATGAAGAAGGTGAGATATATAATCCAAATTTTATTTAGATTCAAATTAACATCTTTCTTTGAAAAGTTCTTCAAGTGAAGGATGTTTAGTTTGTGTTATGTTCGTAGCTTTCTTGATTTGTCGGTTTATTCGGTGTTTAATATCAGACGTTGAATTCCCACACTAGTAGGTAATACTGAAACTAAGGAGGCTTCCAATTGTTGCACGGTAGAAAAACTTAACCACTTGTTTGTTTACGCCGAAATAGTACAGTTTTTTAAGGTAGTACAGTCTTTGTTTTAATTTCTTATACAACATATGACCGTGCTCCTGCCTTGTTAGCTTATTATCAATGGTGAAACCTAAGTACTTATATGACTCAACTTTCTCTACATTTTGATTCACTTCATCAAGACAATACTTAGCCAAAAGAATCACTGAGCATTAAAGAAGTGACTATAATAAAGGAGAGAAAATGTTAATAATGTGCAAATTAAGGGAGAAAAAAAAATAGGAACATATAGAAATTGTCCCCATCCATTTTTTTTCTTCTTTCTAAAATTAAACAACTTTCATATAACATTCTTTTTTTTTAAAACGCAGACCGCTACATGATTAAAATTATGGTATATGTAATTCAATACAAAAAATAAAACATCGACATTATGTAGGTTTCAATGCGGTTTTTTTATATTAACAAAAAGAAATATATCTTACACATTGCTTGAATCCAATGCATTTCATATAGGTACTTACGATTCGCTCTGTTGAACAACACATATCTGTTTACCAGTTTAATGTTCGAGAATTTTACATTCCAGTTTGGTTGGGCATCGGGGTCATTTGTACGAGTACAAGAGTTTTGACCAATGTCTGTATTTCTGTTACCATCTACAGCTTTATCCGCAATGTAAATATTATTGTAATCACTTGATTGCACAGCTCTTTGTTTAAGTGCGACATTGCGTCCTGAAATAAGTTGTAACACTTTTAACTAAACAATTTAGTCTCAAAAATGTCTTTTAATATCTCATTATACCTAATCATTTTAAATACAAAATATAGCGGTGAATGGGAAATGCTATATTTAAATTATCCATAACTTTTAAAAGCCATGATCTTTAGTGCCATTACGTTACAAAGTTACTCGTTTATAGAACTATATCTGTTTCGTTAATCTATGTTGTAAAACTTAGATTACATCCCTTTTTCAAATTGTAATTTATCTCACCTATATTAATAGCTTTAAAGAAGATGAATATTGGTGCGTAAGTTTAAGGATTAAACTAGCCAAGAAATATACAATGATTAGCAGTACTTTTGTATGCTCTTAGTTTGTGACACATACATTATGAATAATCCGATAAGAAATTAAAATAATGTGTTGATAATTAAGGAAGATTAATTAATTTTCAATAAAAAATATCTAATAAAATTGCACAATAGCTGGTAATTTCAAGAAGTGAAATATTAATATATTTTGTAAATTATGTAAAAATTCACAATTGTTCGAATTATTTATTGCTTTGTCTAATTATGGATGTATTATGCAACCTATATGATTCTTTATAATTAAATATTGTGACATATATAGTTGCTTATTTGAAACATTGTCAAGAAATAGAAATATCCTAAACAAAATTTAATCAAAGTCAAATTAGTAAAAATTTCCCAAGTAAAAAAAAAAATTCAATACACCAAGAAATGGAGCCATAGGTAATAGTTTGACTTCACCTTTTAAATTAAAATATACATATACTCCTTTGATATTTTTACCTCCACTGATACTGAGTGAGCACAGGTATCCAACGTCCTGGCCTGTCAGTGTTAGATGTGTCGTTAAGATCTGAGCATCACATAATAGATCCATAGCTGTGTCATCGATGAGATATGCCTTGTTGCAAGTATATGTAGAGCCTTGTGCATCATTTAACGTCATTGTGATGTTACGTTTAAAATCTGCATAGACATAGGGTATAGAGAGATTGTTTATGTTCATGTGCGTTTGAGCTACAGTATGCAGCTTTTAAAGCTTCTACTATATAAAGCTCAGTGTGACAATGCTGCTAGTTCATTTTTTGTAATTATTTTAACTTGCTTTTCTTTAACAAAGGTACACAAAAATAGATTTGAAAAAAAAAAAAAGGCATCGTGCCTATGTGTTGATAATATGTTTCCATCAACCTTACCTCACCTCCTCAATTTTTGTATTGATATTTACGTCACAGATTGAACGGGTAGCTTCAATCATTTTTACCCAATCCTCCCTTGATTGGGAAAAAAAGTTTTTTTTACGCTTGATAATGTTTTAATTTGTTATCAAAAATGCTATCAAGGGATGCAATTTCTAGGCATTATTTTCTAGATCTTTCAAGGATTTTAATTTTTACCTTGTGCTGTAAGTCGATATATAATTTTTTACTTTTGTTTATTTTATTTTGTATTTTTATATACATTTAATAGTGGAATTAAATTGAATTTTTCTCTTATCACTATCTTTGATGTCTTATTTTCTTCAGTCTAAACTTAAAACTAATTAAATTCGCTAAACCGTATTACAATACATAATACAATACTTTTTAAACTAGCTATGAGAGTTTAATGAAATTGTAATCTTTATATATACAAAAGAAAAATGTTTTCTATTTCATGAAACTACGGTTTATTTAGTGGTGTAAGGTGGCTGAACAATAGATTAGAATTACCCCACACTTCACGGCCGTGCATAAATGGTGCTTTTGCGTACTTAGGGGTTTTTCTGTCCTGGGGCTTTTTGTAACCGTTATTTCCAATTTTGCATAGCAGTTGTGTGTGGGGTAGCGGAAATCTGGTAAACATGCACATGGACATCTATATTAATAACTGTAGGGTTTTCAACTCATAATATTCACCCATTTAGACAGGACCGGCTCAAGGCGGGTACGATGTGTTATAATCACACAATGGCCAATTCTTTTCTGCCTTCTGAACTCTTCCCATAATTTTCCAGATGGTGGACAATCGCCTATATTCATCGTACTAAACATTTTCAATCTCCGATCCTGTCTCTAGGTGTCCCAGGCCCTTATTTCATGTTTCCTTGAGTAAGTTTGATAAACAAATGAAGTCTAAAATAACAATATAGAACTCTAAGTGAATTGATGGATGAATGTAAAACCTGGGCATAGGGCCTACCTATTACATTTCATCGTAAAATATCTTTAAGTATAATTAAGGTCTACCGTTTACATTCACTTTTCGATAACGGCTTTAAGATTAAATAAATAGCCTTATAATATCTCTTAAATTTTTTCCAAGTCTATATCATGTTTTTTTTAATGTAACGAACTCATAATTATATAAGTTTATTGTATTATTTTTTGTTGTTCGTTTTTTTTAAAAGTTGTTAAAAAGTTCCTAATTGGTGTAAAAGGTTCCATAATGTATAGACCTTATAACAGCCATAGATAAAACGAAGGCTTAGATTAAAATGCAAGCCTCTATTTAATTTATGAACCTTGGCCAAACTCTGTAACCATACCATCATAATCCCTTTGACAATTCGGTGGATTTTAAAGTAATTGTTCAGGAGCGCGTTAGGGGTTGGGTTAGTTTTAATGTAGATATAAGTTTTTAAAACCCGTCCATGTTGCATGTATTTCAAATGGTATATATTGTAAAGTTAATTAAACGTTTCTAAAATTATTAGAAAATATTTATACTTTTTTTACTTTTATGGCCTAATAAGTTGTTGGGTTGGTCTATATTATGTAAAATATAAAAATAAATTTTGAAAACCCATTTGAGAAACGTAAATATCTATTTATAGATTCTAATTTAAAAATAACAGAATCTACTTTACTATTTCCTAGAGTGTATAGAGTTTGTACGTTGTTTTTTTTCGAGCTAGGTTTCTGTATAAGCATATTAAAAATCATTTTAAATCGTAGAAAAAATCAATTGAACAAATATTAATTTATAAGCAAAGCTAGTTAATAGTTAAAGAGGTTCGTTAATGATTGCCTACCTAATGAAACGTAACCTTAAATTAACACTCTTAATAATGATTTCAATAAAAATATATATATTTATATATATATATATATATATACATAAATATATGTACGCTCAATTTTTTTAATGTTTACATCTTCTTAAAGTTTATTTATATCAATAAAAATTAAAACCTACCCGTATTGTTTACAGTTATTCTGATCCATGTAATGGTGTAACTAAAGTTCAAGTTTATTGTTATATTTTCCATATTTCCATTCAAACATGTATTGTCATCTCGGTCTTTAAGGGTAGACTGGTCAATTGTTGGTATTGTTGATGTCACAGCAAATGAAAATAAGTCCTCTGTAAAAAACATGCAAATGGAAAAAAATCATTTGTAAAAAAAAAAAGGTTTACCATTTCAATGCAATCAGATTGATCACAACAAATGTATATGTGTGACACAATAATTAATGATTTTTATTTGTAACCTTATAACATCGGTTCTTCAAGAGATCAGACATGATAAGTCTTTCAAAAAAAATGTGTTTATGCTTTTGTATACAAACTCTCCAAAAAGCATTGTATTTGGGCATTCGTCTGGCATTTGTTTCATAATACAATTATAACTGTGTAGTCTAGGTAATGTGTTCTCTGTTGTCAAGGTAGTAGAATGGCATTATGTAGCAATTGCAACACTTTGGCACATTCATTCCAATTTAAATTTTGTTTTATTCATAAAAAAAAAACTATTTTAGTTTGCCTACATTGAATAAATATTGAATAGGATCACAGCCAAGTTCTGATACCAACGATAGGCTCGATATTTAATTAAATTGTAAAGCTGTTATTTTCATTGCGGCTAATATATGAAATTGCAATATAACAGTGATAACTACTTCAAAAGCAATATGTGCTATATCTTTATATTGTTACCATTATAATTTTTTATAATTATTCTTATAAGTGCTTTTATGTAGCGTGGTACCCCAGCCTAGGGCTCACCACGCTGTACATAAAATTTGAGAAACATAGTAAAAAAAATTGAAAAATTAAGAGACATATATTTATTAAATTTAAAAAAAAAACAAATTTATATTTAAAACTATTTACATGTCAAGCCATGGCAAAAACCCAGTAGCATCGTTTTTCATTCGGAGATGGGAATCAGTTAGTATAGTAGAGTTTAAAATGATGTGTCTTTGAGTGCAGTTTGAAGGCTGTGATAGTCGGTATATTGCGGATATGTAATGGAAGAGAATTCCATTGGTTTGGGGCACAGAAAGAGAACGATCGTTTACCGTATGTTTTTTGTTCGAGTCTTGGGGACAGAAAGAATACGCGCGTCTGCGGAGGAGCGAGGCTGTAAAATGGGTGAATAGACAGAAAGAAGTTCAGTAAGATAGAAAGGGAAGGAATTTGAGAAAACAATTTTGGCAGAGAACAAAGAGTTTGTAGACAATCCTTGATTATACACGGAGCCAATGAAGTGAATGAAGAATTGGTGTGACGTGACCACGTTTTTTACCCTTAGAATTAGCCTAGCGGCTGAATTTCGAAACTTTTGTATTTTTCTATGATGTGTTTTGGTGAACCTGGGGGAAGAGAGTTACAATAGTCAAGACGAAAGAGAACGAGAGCGGAGACTAGGGTTTTTGTTTCACTAACTGTGCAATAGTGGCGGAAGGAGCTGATATGACGGATAGTGATGTCTGCAGAGCGACAAATGTGAGAGATATGATTATCGAGGGAGAAGTTGTAAGAATATAACCAAGAATCCAAGCGGAGAATGTAAGCTGTATATCGGAGTTACCTACATAAAATGAAATGGGAAGAGTTGAGTTAGAGGATGATTTGTGATCGTGAATAAGGTGTGCTTTCGTTTTTTAATCGTTAAGCTTCAACTTGCTGCGTGTCATCCATGTCTGGATATCATCAATTCTCTCCCGGATAGTACGAATAGCAGAATCGACAAGAGAGGGATGGGTATGCTCTTATAGCTGCGTGTCATTCATTTGCAAATGACTGGCTGCCACATCATGCAAGAGGAGCAGTGTTCTGGTTAACATTGTGAAAAAAACCGGGCCCAAATCGGACCCTTGTGGAACTCCGTTAAACAAGGCAGCACCGCTGGAGAGGTAGGACCTAAACCTAGCCGAAACTGATCCCGAAATACCAAAGTAATTTTCAAGAGTTTTGTAAAGGGTTTCATGGTCAACAGTGACAAAGGCCGCACTCAGGTCTAAAAGGACCAGGATGGAGATATCAGCTGTCCAATATGAGCAAGAAGTCATTGGTGACTCTCAAGAGAGCTGTCTGGGTGCTATGGAAAGGTCTATAGGACGACTGATTAGGAATGAGAAGAAAGTGGTCGTTTAAGTAAGCGAAAAATTGCTTTAAAACTAGTTTTTCAATGACTTTAGTTAAAAATGAAAAGTTAGATGCAGGTCTATAATTTTAAATTATTTTCATCCAGACCTGGCTTCTTAGGCAATGGTTTGATGACAGCTGACTTACAAATAGAGGGAACCGTGTCAGAAAACAAGCTTTCATTGACTATGTGGGTTATCGTGTATCATACGTGTGTAGCGAAAACAGCACACAAAAAAACAACTTTATTATCATTATCGATTAAATATAACACACTTGCAAGAGGCACAGGAACTTAAATCACCAAACTATTCTGAGTTGGAGTGTAACAAATAAAAATATCACATCTAAAGTAATTTATTATTTTTCAAGTACACTTCTCTACTTTCTTTAAATTGAATGAAATTTATATTATATATTAAAAAAATAAGTTAAAATGGTTGTATATTTTATGTACTCTTCTATTTATGCACCAACTGAATAGATTGAAAGAATGGGAAATCAGACTCACGGTACTGGCAAGCCGGACCAAACCATTCACTGTTACATTTTGAGCCATCTGTACACTCCCCACTGTCATCACAATTGTTGTTACTACAATGACATTGGTACTGA